GTAGTCAGCATCGCACACGTATTCTGGGCCTCCTTCAGACGCTGAGCAATGCGCTGCCGCATCCTATTCATTTTCTCCTGAAAGTGGGACAAGTATTGACAACTTGGTCTCTCTGGATCAAGCCCTCCCCGCTCGGTCCAAGGGAGCACTCAGCTTACAAGGACTGGATGGTCAAGGACTATAGTAATAAAGCACAAGAGCTCCAGGCTTTCTCTTGCCTGTGGTGACTTTGTTCCTCTGAGCAAGAATAAGAGGAGACCCAGAGAAAAACTACTCACTCAGATGTCCCTGCATTTGACCAAGAATGGAGGCTCAGGAAATGGTTTGATTTAAAAACCAAAACCAATTTATGAAAAGGAAGAGTGTGGTGTAGGGCTAGCCAGCCCAAGAATCACGACAGAATGGGCAATTTCTGGTGATAAAGACTTGCATGAGAATAGCTACTGTGGAATGGAAACTCACAAGCAACAAACTTTGAGGCGACAGTATTTTTAGGCGGTATTCTCAGGCAGGGGAACCCACACTCTTGACCATACTTCCTGGAGGTTTTATGTCCACCCCTAGTAGCTACTATTACTATGTAGCCTTCAGCTAAGCGTCCCTGAGGGGCAGGAACAGAGCTCACCAAACCACCTCTCTACAGTGTGTGTTACTGTGGGAGGGAGGGCGCACGTCAGTAAGCTCCCGTCTCCTGCAAATATTTCACTCAACCAAGGCGTTTCAGCGGTAGCACAACACAATGGGGAAAAAAACCACTGGACAAGTAAATGTTCAGAAGACTTTAGGTTCTATCTAGTCCTATCAATTGACTGTTATGTGACTGTCAATACATCACTTCCTAAACTCAGTTTCCATGAGCTGTCGGCCATTCAAAGGTAGGCACCACAGGGCCTGCACTCCACTAATCTCAACACTGCCCCCTGCCTCTTCCTGGAAGTGGTCCCCAGAGGCTTACCCGATGTTCTGAACGCAGACCTTTGCCAGCTCCTGGCTCAGCTACGGGAGGGGCAGCAGTGGGTTTTACTGCAGACACTGAAAATGAAGGGAAGGTACAGCTGCATCAGAAAATCAGAGTAACATTTACTAAGTGGCAGTGCTTTCATACTGTATTGTCCCTTAATCCTGAAGATATTCTGAGGTGTACTAGGACCATTCCCACTTCACAAGTGAATGATCTGCTCAGAGAAGTTAAGTAACTACCCTAAGGTCACACAGCTGTAAACAAAAAGCTGGGATCCAAATCCAGGTCTTCTGATACAAAGTCTACAGCTCCTTCTACAAAGCAGTCAACAGAGCCTGTTCAGAGCCATGATTAGTCTCAGATTCTGCCCTATGAGGGAACATGACATTAGATGAGATGTTCTTCTCCCACACAGAGACACGTGGGAGGTGAAGGCTTACCCGGTTTGCTAGCGAGAGGTTGTGAGGGTGAGGGCACTGGTGGCATCTGAGTGGGTATGGATGCTGCAGGGGGAGGAGGAACTGCCGATGCTGTAGGCTCTGCTTTTGGGGCTGCAGCAGCAGGAGCTTCTGGTGGCTTGGCCTTAGCAGGAGCAGCTGAAAAACAAAAACAGAGGCCATTGGCGTTGTCTGGAACGAAAAGCAACCAAATCAGACACTAAGCAAGGTTGAGCAGCAAAAGCTCTATCTCGAATCAGTTGACACATTCTACCTGGGCATCTGCCATATATACAAGGCAGTATGAAATGCACACAATGATATGAGGCCCTATCTTTCCATTTCCCAGCGCTCCTCGATGTCCTACATTACATAACTGACTTAATTCAGCTGCCTTCCTGATTTCACATGTATTGACTGCTGGTCAAATTTAGCAAGTACTTTCACAGCACCTACTAAGCCTATGGCAATATAAACTTCCAAGCAAAAGAAATCCAGGCAACTGAAGATGCTAGCTAATACAAATACATGAAAGCAACACATTTCTAGTTACAGGAATACTGACAGTCTCATCTTCTACTTTAACATCACGTGTGGAAGAATACTCCGAACTATTAAAAAATAAAAGTCTAAAATAAAGGCTCACTCAGACTTAAAGAGTTCAGAGCGTTTCATCTAGCATAATGCTCATAAATCAATGAGGTGGCCAAACCATAAACTCACAACTTTAAATTAAATGTGTATTTTGAGTTTAGCCAACTGTACATATCTGGTTTCATATGTAAATTAGAAGAACATTCTTTTCAAGGAATGATAAAGAGATAGAATTCTTCAACTGGAAGAATCAATCTTATTCCCTAGCCTTCTACCACACATTATCTCAGCCTGGTCTCAGCCTGATTAATCTCAAGGATGTAATGTACCATCCCTCTACTTAACTATATTGTTAACGAGAAAGAAATAGACGTTAGCAGTCACAGCATTTAACAAAGAATCAGAAAACCAGTTATTTTCTTTTCTAACCCCTCATACTGACTCTAAGGTCCCATATAATTCATTTTCTTGTTTCTCATTTCTTCCCAAGGGAAAGAGCAACCCTCCCTACAAATGTTATGAGAAAACACGTGGAAAAAACACACTGAATTCTCCAGAATGGACACCATGAAATATTATTTCTTCTCACTTTAGTAGAGCAGTGGCTCTCAGCCCTGGCTTTGTATCAGAATCACTTGGAGAGCATTAAAAACACCCAAAAACAAACTATAATAGCCAGGATCTGTTAACACCAGATTTCATATATCAGAATCCCTGGACCATGGAGTCTAGGCATTTGTCTTATTTTAATACCCCCATGTGATTCTGGTGCCAGGGCTGGGGAGAAGGAAAAAAAAAAAAAATCACTATCTTTAGAATCTTCTTCATTCTATTATATGTTTAAGAAAAGGTCCAGCATAAGAAAATACACGGAAAGAAGAGTTATTACAAGTTTTTTTAAATACCCCTTTCTTCTAGAACTTGATATTTAAAGTGCCCACTATATAAATATCACCTTAGTCCCTCAACTAACAGCAGCCGGAATGCCAAATAGTCTTTGAGGTACCAAGGAATTAGTACATTATGCTCAGCCCCAATTCCGAGGGGGAACACTGGAGACCTTGACAACCAGGAGAACTTCTTTACCGCCAGTTTTCCTGAGCGTGAAAAGAGGAGTGCCTCCTTCTACTTTTCCCCCATCAGGTACCAAAAGCGCTTCAATCACGCCATTTGCTGGTGATGGGACCTGCACAGATGTCTGGAAAACAAGGACAGATGGGGAAAGAGTTCAAATTTTTACTCAGCATTAGAAATTTAATTGTCTAGAATCTCCAATAGGAGTCACAACAGTTGCAAAACAGATATACAAGACTCTGCACATAGAAACACCAAGGCCACACTCTCAGAGTAATGAAGAGTCAATGCTATTGTGAAGATTCACCCTTTGTCCTTTCACAGAAACATTAAAGCAATGTTCAGTTAATGTGTTTCCAAGTGATACAAAAAAAAAAAAAAAAAAAAAATCAAACATCTCATGCCCAAGCACAAGTGCAGGAACACACAAGTGCAGGAACACGTGTGTGCACCACCACCCCCTCCCCCGACCACACACAAAACTAAAGCCACTAACGTACATAATACATATACTGAGAACAATCTAAAAATAAACTTTTAAGACTTTTTTTCTTTTTAATGAGCTATTCCAACACTTTAACAATGGAGGTTTAAGCAAGTTAAAAATTATCTTTAAACAACAATTAAGTCCCTGTTTTTTTTTTTTTTTAATTAGGTTAATAAACCAAGGGGGAGAGCATGAAAGATTACACTAATATAGGACAAGCCTACCTTGTCAGTTTCAATCTCACAAACCACTTCATCTTCTGCAACAGTGTCTCCAACAGCTGAAAAGACAGTCAAAGGCTGCCTGTTAAGTGGGAAGGACTCCAATAGCCACAAAATCCCTTTTGACAGGTGTGTTAAAAGACCCTTTTCCTACAGGGTCAGGAAAAATTACACTGCACGTAATAAGAAGAAAGGAGCCCAATTACTGAGGCAGGGAGAGGGGGAGGGCAATGACAACTTTATAAAGCATTTAAACTTAAGAAACGAGTAAGGCCTGAAATCTTACCTTTCTCCCACCTAACATCTCCCTCTGTGACAGATTCTGCAAACGCTGGGGTTTTGACTGTAATCACATCATCCTCTAGGAAAAGAGCAAAAAAGAAAAATCACATGGAGTCCATATATTTCCGTTTTAATTAAACTCCATTGTTGCTCTTCCCATTAAAACGCCATTCCCAAGCAGGCAGGGAATTGAAGGCTGGTACTTACTGCACACAGCTGTAGTTCTGAAGAAGCGAACACTGAAGACACTACTGTTGTTAATACTACAGAAAAAACATAAAAAAAGTAAGCTCCTTTAGCAGGTGAACCACTCACATCTTAGTCTAGATAAGGCACCATGGATCACTTTCCCTTTAAATCAGTGATTCTCAGCCAGGGGTGTCCATCAGTGTCACCTAGGGGAACTTTTTCAAAGCATACGTGTCCAGGTCCCATCCCCAGAGATTATGACTCAGCAGGTCTATGGCAGAGCCCAGATGATTTGGGTGCCCTAAGAAGTAAGCTCCTCAGGTGAGTCCAGAACCCTGTGCTAAAGTGAAACGTCAGGTCTCACAAAATAGAGCCTTACATTTGGTTCAGCGAAGGAAAAGATAAGCATCTTGGTCCTTTGCACACCCACCAAAAGGAACTGGCTTCCTGATTAGGTTTTTTCTTAACCAAATCCACCTAAGATAAAGTACGTGCCATTGCGCCACAAACAATGAAATTTTTGTCTGCAGGATTACAGACCGAGATCAGATAAGGCAGCAAGATGACACAGTTAACTCAGTATTAAAACAAGATGTTATGGGCCAAGGGTGGGGGCAGGGGCAGAACCACCAAAAAAGTCCTAAGATATCTCTTAGTCTGTTCTCCTGCTAGGAGGCAGCACACTGGTCCATTCTGGACCCACTCAAGAAGAACCTCAAAAGACCAAGGTATTTTCCAATATGGCACTAACTTCATATAATGTAAACTAGAGAATGAGATCACCTTATATGCACGAAAGCAATAAGAGTGGTTAACTTTAGAGAGTGGGACAGGTAGATATATATGGTATCCATGGTTACCTGTTAACACACATATACATTTGGGGAGAATGACTAGGACCGATGGAGACTTTCACTTTCTACACTTCAGGACTGTTTGAATATTCTACAACAAGCACCTTTATGATACGAAAAACAGATTAAGTTGCCTTTTGTTTTTATTTATTTACTTATTTTAATATTTATCATTGAGAGAGAGAGAGTCAGAGCATGAATAGGGGAGGGGCAGAGAGAGAGGGAGACACAGAATCTGAAGCAGGCTCCAGGCTGAGCTGTCAGCACAGAGCCTGACATGGGGCTCGAACTCACAGACCATGAGATGACCTGGACCGAAGTTGAACACTTAACCGACTGAGTCACCCAGGCGCCCCTAAGTTGCCTTTTGACATTTCTACTTTTGTAATGTCAAAATAACTGTAAGATCTATGTGGAATCAAGGGGAAAATGTATGTTATTTTTTGAAAAAGCACAGAACACAAAGTGATCTGCATAAAGTCTATAACCATGTGTAAGCACACGTTCGTGGGACAGAACTGGTGGGTAATGTGCAACTGCAGAGACTGCTCCATGAGAACACTCAAGAACCTGGAGCACTGGCTGCCTCCAGGAAAAGGAACTTGGTGGCACTGCAAGACCACTTCTGAATCATGAAAAATCAAAATGTTTTATGATGAAAGGATTTTTAAAATAAAGTGGGTACCTTATTCACAGAAAACAGACAAAAGACAACACAAAAACAGTTATAAGATAAGGTGATCTCACCCCTGAAATTTTAGTGTTTTGTTGAAAAACAATTTACTTTCAGACGGTAATTTGTTGTATATATTGCATAGAAATTTGTGGTTGTTCCAATTTTCATTTAAATTGTAGATGAAGGGCATCTAGGTGGCTTAGTTGGTTAAGTGTCTGACTCTTGGTTTCGGCTCAGGTCATGATCTCATGGTTTGTAAGATTGAGTCGCACGTCGGGCTCTCAGCTTATGGTGTGGAGCCTGCTTGGGATTCCCTCTCTCTCCACCTCTCCATCCCTCCCCTGCTCATGCTCTCTTAAAAAAAAGAAACAAAATGTATTATATGTTCACTGCAGAATATTTGGAAACAGCAAAAAAAAGTACAGTAAAAATACAGAACCATTTTATAACCTGCGTTCTCCCACTTATCATAGTGTGAACGTGTTAACATGACACAGCTTAACCAACCCCATGCTGTTTCCCCATTTTGAGAGGAATCTGGGTATACCAGGAGTTCTTTAGTATAGATTCTTAGAAATGGAATTGCTAGATCAAAAAATACACAGTTCAAAGACTCATGAATGTCAACTGCCCTCCAAAAAAACCTCAGAAATTCATTCTTTTAGTACTAAGTGCATCATTTTCTCAATTGAAAAGAAAATCCCATTGTGATGCATGGTGAAGAAGGAACTAATCTGCTGACCCTTCATTTTAAAGACTCTCCCTAGACAGAAAGTAGCTTGATAGCTGTTTAACCGATAACTAGAGAGCATCCTCTTACCACCACCCTGAAAATACTTGGAATGAAAAGTGGCATTAAGCAACATTCATAAGCAGAAGTTAATCTGAAACACACATGGGTGGCCTTTCTCAAACTGCATTACGCAATAACAGCATTCCCTCCGAAGCAGTCAAAGTCCCAGGACTCAACTGACTAGTCTTTTGCTTTTACTGTTTCAAAAATGAATACTATGCTACCAAGAGGATGCTCTAAATCTCCACAATAAATGTTAACCTCCAGCCCTTCGGCAGCATCTGTATCCAACCAGAATACTTATGGGTACCCTTGTATATTTATTCCCATAAAGAGAGGGTTCCAATTTCACTTTCTTTATAATCTAAACACCTGAGGACAACCACACTCTCGGGCCAGCACTGGACATGAGGCTGAAGCTCAAGGTATATCACACATCATAAATCAACAACAAGATTAGGTCTAGAGACTCAACATAACCACCTTGATAGCTAGGCTTCGAAGCCAGTGAAGAAAGCAGATGGTCAAATTTAGAACTAGAGTCTTAAATACCCTGTGGTCACACATTTGTGCTCCCCAGTGATACTTACACAATCTTCCTGCTGTCAGGGTAACCTGGTCCCTGACATAAGGAGACCCCTGCAAGAAACAAAACAACTCTTAACCAACAACTCTTATCTTATACAGGTTACCTGCTGGGAATGGAAAAGTCTGTTCACCTCCTAATGCTGAGATAGAGCAAGATCAAATGTAGGCACCAATATAATCTTTACCAAAAGAGTCCTGCTTCTCAATGGCAGAGAGCAACAGGTATGTGGGGTTGAGAGTGGGTATATGTTTGAAGAGGAAAGGGGAGAATTCTAAGGGCAAAGCTGGAAGTAGTTTTATCTTATTTACCTTAAAATTCATAAACTTCCATTATCCTTACATATTTTCACAATAAAACCTCCCTACTCCCCAAGTGTTCAAATATAACTGAAGCTTGAGAAAGACACATAATGGCTTCTCTTGTGACTACACACAGCCTCATGTGAGAAGCAGTGGGAATGTTTGGTCTGGGTTTCTGTTTCCCTGGTTACTTATAATGCATGAAACTGGAAATCTTACTACCCAAACTCTAGTAGCAAAGACTGGGCTACTTTAGGTTCAGGGTCTCCAGTTTGCCCCAGTACCAAGCAAATCACTGTCCCTCATTTCAGTTTATTGTCTTCCTGTGATCTCCCTGAGGTCTTCCCCTCTGGTCAGACTCAACAAGGCTGGAGCCCCTTTCTGCCCCACCAGTTGTCCTGATCACAGATAACGGCACTTCCCCAACTGACAACTAGTTACTACAGTACAGCTGCCTCCCCTAACAAATTCTTTCATAGCTCTTATTTCCTTCAGATCTATTAACAATTCTTTCCAAACCATGGGCTCAGGAGACACCAAATGGGAAACAGCACTCTCTTGTGCCCCCTCCTCCCCCAAATCTCCAAGGTTTCAGACTCAAGTAAGTCACTTCTCTGTTCAGCAGTCAATGCCTCTGCGGTACAAATCCCAAGTACAGCATATCTTTGAGCTAGAACAACCAACAGCTCATACAGAGTTTTGGAACCCTGAGTCCAATTTAGAGTTCATCCTATAGCAAGTCTCATTTATACAGTGCTTTAGGGTTTACGAAAAGCTTTCACAGGGGCACGTGGATGGCTCAGTTGGTTGAGCCATCAGAGCAATCTGACTCTTGATTTTGACTCAGATCATAATCCCAGGGTCATGGGATTGAGCCCCGCATCTGGCTCCTCACTATGCATGGAGGCTGCTTAACATTCTCTTGCTTTCTGCCCCCTCCCCTTCTCATGCTAATTTAAAAAAAAAAAAAAAAAAGCTTTCACATAAATGACCTCATTTTGATTTTCATGTCTCACACCTCCCTGAAGTAGAACGACCGTCTGTCATTATTCCCATTTCATACATAAGTAGGGTTTCTGGAGGTTTAAGTAACTAGCCCAAGGTGAAGCCTTGGGACACAACGCAAACCCCAAGTACAAGGTTCTTTCCATTGTCCTGCCAGTCTATAAATGGGGAAAATGTTTACTTTTGGGATTCCTAGTTTAAAAGAATATTTATTGTTGAAAGTCCACTACAAGCTCACTCTGCTAGGTGCCTATGTTCTCAGGACTCTTAGGATGAAGTCCAAAAACTTTACACATCCCTGAACTGTACAGCCCTCCCTATCTTTGCAGCCAGACAGACTTCCTTTCCATTTCTGTGACCGGTTAAGTCCCTTCCTGCCTGAAAACCTTTGCACAAGCAATTCCCTTTGCCTGTAACATTGTTCTCTTGGCCAACTGCTATGTATTCTTTAAGACTTGGCCTAAATGTCACTTCTTCTGGGAAGCCTTTAGTGACATTCTCACCACACTCTCCACCTTCCCAAGCTGGGCTACATCCCACCCTTTCATTACACCCTAGACTTCTAGTTCATAGTCATCACGATGTAATTGTGTCCTTATGTGTGCATAAATGCATATTTGCTGTCTCTCCAGCTAGCCCTTAAGATTCTGGAGGGTATCCCTGTCACCTAGCACAGTGCCTGGCATGTAGTAAGAACTCAATAATTCATCTGTTGAGCACATGAGTAAGCGACGACATGATGGGTTAAGAGTTGAGGCTGAGGAGTCAGGTAGACCTGGCTTGACCAATAGTTGGCCGAGTGACCTTGGTGAAGGCACTTACCCCTTCTTGGGTTATGCATTTGTAAAAGAGAATACCTCTTTTATTGTTTCTTGATGATTAACTGCAAAATGTGCAGAAAGCACTCAGAACAACGCCTGGCACACAGAAAGCTCACAATAGGATCAACTCATTCAACAAACATTCATGCCAGGCATATAAAAAATTATTGGGATAAAACCTAAATTCCTTCCAATAGTCCACACACCATCTTCTATCTCAGACCATTCCCTCCCTTAACCAAAATTCTCTGGCTAAATCACCTTTTTTTTTTCCCAGTGCCAAAACACTGCCAAGCTCTTTCCTTCCTCATGGTCTCTGTACATGCTATTCCCTTTCCTTCTCCTGGTCTTCACTGAACTGGCCTCTGTCACACCCTCTGGGTTGCAGCTTTAATGTCCCCTACTAAAGAGGGCCGTTCTGTCCACCTTCATTTGTTTCCTTCTCGGCGCATGACCAAAATTCATGATCCCTTATTTGCTTAGCAATTTACACTGTCTTTTCTCCTAGATTGGAAGTTCCAGAAGGGCAAGAACTGTCAGCTGCTGCATCCCTAGGGAGCACCTAGTACAGGCAGGAGAAACTCAGTAACTATGTGCTAAATGAATAAACGATAGCTGTTCTTATTAAATAGTACTTTGTTTCACTCCTATATATCTGAACATCATGTGGAGAAACATTAGCACCCCGGTTTCCTCACTTACTGCTCTGCCCAGGAGAAAAGCATGTTAGGTGAAGACAAGGGCACAACTTACCAGGCAGGGAACGTCTCCCTAGAGGGCAGTTCCCCTGTTGAGAAAGAAGACATTATCGACGTCACCCAAGATGAAAGGAGGGAAGAAACAGCTTTTTAAGTACAGACTCAAAGCTGCCCGGGTGCTACTGACAGGTGAATCTCATGACTCCAAAAGGCAAATGCAACAACCAGGGCTCTCAGTCCCAGCCGGGCCTGACAAACTATCTCAACTTCCCACCGGGGCTGAACACCCACTGACTAACGGGAGAGAGGGGGCGGGCCCCGGATCCCGTCTGGACTCCGCCGCGCCTCCTCCCAAACTCTGAGTCTCGTGTCGGGACGGGCGCGGCTCTGGGAGGCTCCTCAGCCCCGGCGCGGAGGGTGGGGCGCAGCCAGGGACGGGGCGCCGGCTGCCTCGGGAAAGCTGGGGGCCGCTGGGCTCTGCCAGACGCCCCAGAGAGCAGCTGCGGCCCCGGGCCGCCCAGTCCGCGGCCTCCGCGTCCCGGTGCCCTTGGTGCCCGGCTTGACCGGCGCGCCGCGCCCCAGCACCCAGGCTGCCCCTCGGCCCGCCGGCGCGTTTCTCATCCGCCGGGGCCCCGGCCCGGCCGGACCGTACCTTCTGAAAAGCAGACAACGAGCGGCTGAACGCCCGAGACACGCAGCGTGACCGGGACAGCATCGCGGCGGCGGCGGAGCCGAGGGCGGGCGGACACCGGATATAGGGCCCGGCAACAACCGGAAGCGGGGCGGGCCACGGTACCTGCCGCCCGGGGAGGGGTGTTCGGAGCGAACCACTGGCGGGTGGGGGGAACCGACGGGCAGCGCAGACCAGCCCCGGCCTCAGCCCACCTGTCAGCGCCAGGGAGCCTACGGCGGTGGGGCGCTCTTGGAGCCCGCTGCACTGCCAGCCGGCCTGGGTCGGTCCTCCCGGGGCACCTACGACTGTCCGGAGACCAGGCCGCTCCCGGAGTCCCGCCCTCCCCGACCTTTCCTTAGAGCTGGCCCTGAGCTTGGCGCCAGTCTCTCCTGGGACCCCGGGACACCGCGCCTTTCCACCTCTGCACTACCGGCAAAGAGAAGGAGGCTGGCATGGGCTTTGAACTCGGACCTTGGCAGACACGCCTGCCCTATCTTACACTTGAGTGGCCTTGGGCAGGTGACATTGCTTCCTGAGCCTCGGGTTCCTCAGATATATATAAAAAAGCAAGAGTCACTTCCCGGCCTCCCTAACCCCAGAACAAAGAAGCAGCCCCAAGGAACCTCTAAAGGTTCCCACTGCCCTTTTACCAGCGAAGATCAGCAAGTAGCCTTACTTCTGCAACATCTCCTGATCTTCCCTCGTCCTGCTCAAATTCTCTCCAAGCTAATTGTAACCCCATACATCCTATGCATTTTGGAGGTGGTTCCTTAGTCACTCTATCCCTAGAATACAAACCACGAAATGAGGGACCTTGTCTGTCTTGTTCACTGCTGTATCTCAGCACTTGGAACAGAGATTGGCATAGGTAGGTGTGTATTAACCATCCTGCGTGAAACCTTCAAAGTGAAAGCACATAGCACCACCACCCCTCTTTAGTTTTCCCTCCCCTTCAATGCCCAAGCCCCTGAATGTTCAACCGTATAGCTCACTTTCCTAATAGAAAAGGTTTCCTATAAGCTTTGGTGGAATTAAGAATGAATGAATGAACGAATGAGCCACTAATGCCTGTTCATGTTGGTTGCTTCAGCTGAGTCATCTTGCCGGGTCCGCAGGCACCTTTATGGTGTCTTCACTCACCTAAACTCTGGAAGCTTCCACCTCAATCCTGCAAGGATTGGCAGAAGCCCTAACGAGAAATAGAGAAAACCTTCTTGCTCAGCTGCTGCCCCTGATCAAGTCTTCAGCATTCATCACCTGGATTCTTTTAAAAGCTTCCAAAAGGGACCTGGGCCTCCACTCACACTTTCTCTAACCCATCCTCCATGTCAAAGATCCTTTTGAAACACACATCTAATCCTGTCACTCTTATGATTGAAGTTTTTCAATTGCTTCAACCTATCAGTAGGATGAAGTCCAAACTCCTCAGTTTGACCAGGCACCTGATAACCTGGCCTTTGGCTATGTTGTGATCCCCGCCCACCTGACTTTCACTGATGTTGAGCTTTCATCCTTACCACACCACTGGCAATAGCCCCGGTGTGCTATTTCACTCCTTCCCATCTTGGCGTGGGCTGATCCTACCTCTTAGTTGCCTAGGGACTTCTAATCATCATGTGAGTCTCTTTTGAATCCCTTCCCTAATAATCAGAGTTAACAGATACCTTTTCTGTGCTTCCAAAGCATTGTGCCTGTGTCTCTCCTTTGCATTATAATGTCCTTTTTTTCCTGTCTCCTCTCCTGGACAGAGCAGAAGGAGGAAGGTGACTCTATTCTTCTGAATCCTGTGCACAGAACACAGTGCCTGCTATGCTGTAGGTACTCAGTAAATACAAATGGAATTACTAAATACTGCCATGCTTATAAGACTTCTGGATGCAGCTAAAGAGTCCCAAAACAGTAATCCCTTGCAGGGTTTGCTGTTAGTATTTCTTCGATAGCTATGGGGTGCCTGGGTGGCTCAGTCGGGTTAAGCGTCCGATTTGGCTCAGGTCATGGTTTCATGGTTTGTGGGTTCGAGTCCTGTGTCAGGCTCTGTGCCGGTAGGTCAGAGCCTGAAGCCTGCTTCAGATTCTGTGTCTCCCTCTATCTCTGCCCCTCCCTCACTTGTGCTCTCTCTCTCTCTCAAAAATCAGCAAACATTAAAAAAAAAAAAGAGTGGAGGAATCTCAAATGCTGCTTCACTTTGTTTTAATGTTTCTTAGACAGCTACTTAATTTTTTCCACTTTAAGTAATTCGTTTGAGAAGTTCCTATCTAAAGTTTAGAAGTTCAGGCATAGATGATGTGTGGCAAAGCATTTCTCCTGGAGTTTCAGTGATCACCCAAGTTAATCTCAGATGTTACAGTTTTAGACACCCACATATACGTGCTGGTGCACACACACACGTACAGCAGAATGCAAAGTCTGTCTCAGAGGATAAAGGTTGAAATCGATTTCCTTGAGACTCATAAATGAGCTTCTGTGAAGTCCAAGTTCCAACCCAATAAGCTCTCACCCTCTTCTGTATTTAGAGCCTCCTAGGACATAGCATCATCTATTAGGACAGGAGTTATGTATGTAAGTTCATAAACTTGTGTTTGTGGCAGAGTTCAAAAGGAAATTTATTTATTTTTTACATTAAAAAATCTTAATTCCAATATAGTTAACATACAGTGTTACATTAGTTTCGAGAGTACAATATAATGATTCAACAAGTCTATATATCACTCAGTGCTCATTAAGATAAGTGCACTCTTTTTTTTTAATGTTTATTTCCGAAGGAGAGAGACAGAGCATGAGTGGAGGAGGGGCAGAGAGAGAGAGAGACACACACACACACACAGAATTCAAAGCCGAAGTCTGACGCTCAACCGACTGAGCCACCCAGGCGCCCCTAAGTGCACTCATTTTTTTAAAAAAACCTTTATTTATTTTTGAAAGAGAGAGATAAAGAAAGAGAGAACGAGTGGGGAAGGGGCAGAGAGAGAGAGGGGGACAGAGGATCTGAAGTGGGCTCCGTGCTCACAGCAGAGAGGTCAATGCGGGGCTTGACCTCACAAACCATGAGATCATGACCTGAGCCAAGGTTGAATGCTTAACAGACTGAGCCACCTAGATAAGCGCACTCTTAATCCCCTTCACCTGTTTCGCCCATCCTCCCACCCACCTCCCCCCTGGTAACCATCAGTTTGTTTTCTGTAGCTACAAGTCTGTTTTTTTGTTTGTCTCTTCCCTTTGTTTTGTTTCTTCAATTCCACACATGGGTGAAATCATATGGTATTTATCTTTCTCTGATTGGTTTTATTTTACTTAGTATTATACTCTCTAGATCCACCCATGTTGTTGCAAATGGCAAGATTTTGTTCTTTTTTATGGCCGGGTAATATTCCACTATGTATACATATATATTTTCCACTATATATACCATTTATCCATTCATCTATTGATGACACTTGCGCTTCTTCCCTAATTTGGCTATTGTAAGGTTTTTTTAAAAAATATTTTTATTTATTTTTGAGACAGAGAGAGACAGAGCATGAGCAGGGGAGGGCAGAGAGGGAGACACAGAATCCGAAGCAGGCTCCAGGTTCCTAGCTGTCAGCACAGAGCCCGATGCGGGGCTCGAACTCACAGACTGTGAGATCACGACCTGACCCAAAGTTGGACACTTAACCGGCTGAGCCCCCCAGGCACCCTTAATTTGGCTATTGTAAGTAATGTTGCAATAAACATAGGGGTGCATATATCCTTTTGAATTAGTGTTTTCATATTCTTTGGGTAAATACCCAGTGGTGTGATTACTGGATCATCTGTTTTGTTTTTAATTTCAAAAGGGAATTAAAAAACATTTTTTTAATTTTTTTTTAACGTTTATTTATTTTTGAGACAGAGACAGAGCATGAACAGGGGAGGGTCAGAGAGAGGGAGACACAGAATCCGAAACAGGCTCCAGGCTCTGAGCTGTCAGCACAGAGCCCGATGCGGGGCTCGAACTCACAGACCGCGAGATCATGACCTGAGCCGAAGTCAGCCGCTTAACCGACTGAGCCACCCAGGTGCCCCTAAAAAACATTTTAATTGTAAAATATATATTCAAAAGGGTATATAAATATATGTGTATTATTTTTAAAAAAATAGTAAAAGGAATACCCACATTCACCATCCAGCTTAAAATGGAAAAGCCCTATGTGTCTTTCCCTGCTGGTCCCCCTAGAGTTAACCACTGCCAGGCTCAACTATATATTAACCTATGCCCTCCCTTCCATTATAGTTTCTATACGCATGTGTCTTAAACTTTAAATTCATTTTGCCTATGTTTTAAATTGAGGAAAATATGTATTTACTTTCAAATTATATAAGAAAAAATTTTTGCTTCTAGAAAGGATAAATAGCTCAGTTATGAAAAACACAATGGAGGAAGCAGCCTACTTTAAATAACACACACAATATTCTTTTCTCTTACCTGAAATCCCCCAATATTCATACGTGTGGTCTGAACTACACACTCACATCCTTGTTCACATATTTTTTAATATTATTGACCAGATGGTAGATGGCTGGGCTATAGCCTATCTTTCCATCTTCTGGACTTCTTAAAATAGAGACTATATCCTATATTCATTTTGTATTATCCATAATACCTAGATTCCATCTATCTGTGTATCTCTCCATTAAGTTTTTTTAATGTTTATTTATGTATTTATTTATTTATTTATTTATGTTTATTTATTTTTGAGAGAGAGAGAGAGAGAGAGAGGAGACACAGAATCTGAAGCAGGCTCCAGGCTCTGAGCTGTCAGCACAGCTGGAGAGGTCTTGACATTTTTCTTGCAGGTAAGAGCCCCCCAAACTAAGTATACAAGACTCGAATTTACGAACCACAAGATCATGACCTGAGCTGAAGTCACACACTTAACCAACGGAGCCACCCAGATACCCTTCTGTTCAATTGCAATTAATAATGGATGGATGAAACTCAATAAAAATGTAGACATTGTTGGGCCTATTTTTAAACGTAATGTAACTGGGATGGATCACAGCATCTGTATCATTCTGTGACT